GCAGACACCTCGGAACTTGGCATGGAAAAGCCCTGCTAGGACCCTGCTTTTGCAAATGTGGCTGCTTATTCACATCCACCTGATGGTACAGGGGGAACAATCCCCTTTGGTATATGTACTCGTGAGGGAGGGACCTCTATTTGGACTCGGAAGCAAGGAGAGGGATTCAAACATTGGCAGATTACCTATTCCCAAATGACTGTGCTTCCCTGTCACTGTCAATAGCGAGGGAACACTTGATATTCTCTGGCTGCTTGCAAAATACCTTTTTATTTCCTCTCTTTACATGAAAAATCCTTCACACTGGTACCACCTTCCTGGGACTGGCACTGAGCACTCAGGTAATGAACAGTGCTGTTAATAGCACTCTTGTTCAAGCTTCGTTTAAACCCTGTCCCTGCACTCTTAACACTGGTTCTGTAAGAGGCTCCCCACTGTTCCCACCAGGGTGCAGGGGCACAGTCAGCAACACAGCAACACCTTTCTGCAGGGGTCATGGGAGCACCACACTGCCAGCAACCAGGAGCAACACATTCCTACCAGCAGTGACAGCAGAGACCCATTGGGGAATCAGCAGCAAAAGCCATTACAACTGTTACCTTTGCTTGTAAACATTCCCTGTGCCTCTGCTCTCATGTTGTCTGACTATTCCCTGTAGGTCTGGCAGACAGAAAGCAAACAGCCAGCACCTACCCCTTCCTCCCCGTCCCAGCTCTGCCACCCACAGCATCCTTCCCTCCTGGGTTAGACAGATCCTGCACCCACTGGTGTTGTCCATCAAGCCTCTCCTAACCCAATTGCAATTCACTGACAGCTTTACTTGCAAATTCCCTCTCTGCACAGCTCATGCTAAGAACCTTAATATTCCTGCAGATTCAGGAAGGGGATTTCCAACAAGCATTAGGAAAATTAAACTTCTCAAGAGCTGTCTCAATCTGACAAGCTATTTCTAGCTCTTCAAAGTACGGTAAGTGAAAATATTAAAATGGGGGATGGGGAAGTGGTAGTAAGCAATTGATGAATTACAGCTAGAAACGAGGGCAGCATAAGTCTGTTTCACACATATATAAGACACATGTATGTATACACACACACACAAATACATGAATATGCATTAAGGCTTCCTGCTACCTTATAACAGAAAATTACAATCTCCCACCCTTTGCTTCCACACGAAGCCAAAGCAGCAGATAACAAAGCAGGGCATTCCCAGGCTGTTTACACCTCATGAAGCCCAGAAATGGCAGTTTTTGTTGCTGTTCTCTTCCCAACAAAATACACACCATGTCCCAGCTAAGTCCCCTTTGCTCCTTTTTCCTGCCTCCTTTCCCCTTTCTCTTTTCCATCCCCTACGGAGCTTTCAAGCCTACACCCCAAACAGAGAAGCTGTTTATAGCCCAGGCCATTGCTGGGTGAGAAGCTGAACCAGGTTTTCAAGATGTAAGGGTCTGACTCTGGAGGAGGAGAGGGTGATGCTATGTTTTTAGGAGGAATAAAGCAGCATAATTTAGCTGGTACCAAATTTTTCTGCACCCTGGAATGGCTCTGGCTCCAAAACCTTGACATTTCCCCTGGTTCAAGGCCTGATTTGAGTCATGGTGCATAGCTTGTCTGTCTGTCTGTCTGTCTGTCTGCTCTCCCTCTCTGCTGCCACTTTGCAGCAATCACCCCCAGTAGCCTCACAAATCATACTGAAATTGGGCTAGAAGAGCATCCTCTTCAATTACAGCCCCTCATCACGGGTGCTTTAGGAGCAGGGGACACAGGTTCTGTACTAGACCAGGGGACAAAGCAATTAGAAAAGCTGATTAAAATCCTATTGCTCTTCAGGGGCTGATGTGATTGTGCGAGGGCTGTGCCGTGCGATGGAAAAAACCTTTCTGAGCTCACAGCCTGCCAAAAATGCCGCTTCAGTTCTATGAACTGGTCTTGCAAAAGACACATTATTGAGTGCTGTGTTGAAGCTACAGTCAAGGGTATGCAGAGAGCTGGGTACAGAGCTAGATCTGATCAATACTGGGGACTTTTCAGCATTACAAAATATTTTGCGTTAAGACATGCAGCCTGATACTATGTTAAGGAGAAACACAAAAGGGACTTAAGTGACCTTGGTATCCTGACTGGTGGAGCAGAAGGGAATGCCAAATGCTAAGAGCAATGCTATTGATTAGACCCGAGAGAGAGAACTGGTGAAAGAAAGCAGTACAAAGTTATTAATGGCAGAGAGGAGGACAGTGAGTTGGGTTTTTGGCTTGCTGACAACAGGATTACAAATAGGTGCCCCCAGTCAGTGAGACAAAGGATTTGCTGGAGAAACAGGGAGGCCTGAGATGCATCTGTGCTGGTGGGAGAATCCCACCAGGAGCAGAGCACAGGGATACAGATTATCCTGGGGGAAGAAGCAACCCAGGAGCATCTGGGGCACCAGCAACATTGCCCTCCCCCAAAGAGCACAGCCCCATTGTGCAGCAGTGCAGGCAGGGCATGGTCCTGCAGCCTTTAAGCAAGCAATCCAGAAGGTGCAACAGAGAAAGCAGAGGCTCATGGATTACCAGTACAAGAAGAACTAAAGCTCTTGGGGACCTGTATAAAGCCTGCTGCTAAGCTCACACTTCTCTACTGATACCCAGTGAGACACCCAACAGCTTGGGCACCCACAGTAGGTGGTGATACCTATCAGATCTGCAATGGGACCTCATGGCACAGCACAGGGTAGAAGAAGGGATCATCAGAGGAACTTCTGACTATGATGGCTGCCTGAAAGGAAGTAGCTCTGTGCTTGGCTACTGAGCATCACCATGCAGGGATGCAGCTGAGGCTCTCTGGACCAGCTCCTCACACTGGTCTCTGTAAGAAGGCTAAGATACAAACACACAAGAGCAGATGGGGGATAAGCTGCAGTGAAAATCTGCCACTGGACAGTCTTCTGCTGAAGGCAGCTGGCCACATCCAGTGTGTGCTAAGATAAGCACTGCTCATGGAGAATATAGTCCCTTTACTCCCATCTTTATTTCTCCTCCACTGTTCATCAGTGCTTACAGAGTTCAATAAAATGTTGAAAATGGGACTCTTAGTCATCATCACATGCTTCTATCATCAAGGCTGAGCAGTAAAGCTCTTTGGATTGTTTTTTTAGGTCATTATTATGTTAACTGACTGTAGTAAGCTCTAATTTAATTAATAGGAATGAAAGTCTGAACATGAATAACCAAATTCCTCATTACACTTCAAAATTGCAGCTTTCTGTTGCTGGCAGTATTGGTTTGAGTACTCAGGTACCAAATATCTAGCCACTGTCCGCATGCCAGCACAGCATCGATCAGAGTTAGAGAAGCATCTGTGACTGCAGAAGGGGAATGCAACAGGAGGCCTCATTTGCACCCACTGAAACAAGGAACAAGTTAAGTTCTGGAAGACATTGCAAACAACTGTGGTTCAGTACTGAACGTGTGCCTCTGGGCTCCAGGGGCTGTTTTAAGGAGGCAGATGCAGAAACTTGTCGTATGTAATCTACCAGCCACCTTTATAATGTGACAGGAATTTCTTAATGAGCATTGGCAGTACATACAAACAGAGCAGCAGTGCTGCTTCTCCAGCCATTAATGTTACATACGTGGGCTGCTTAATTTGGTGCTTCTCACAGAGCTGTCGCAGGAAGCCTGCATAATGAAGGATTTGTTGACAGAGGTCTTCATATCAAATCAGCAAAAAGGTAGAAAATGATCCAGTTTTAGGCATACTTGCTTGACTCATGTAACCTTGGCCCTCCTAACACTCCTGATTATGGGTATGATGTACCAGGTGTTCTGCTTTTCTCAGGCCCTTATTGCTGCAACTTTTGAACTTCATCTGCTAAAGCTTTCACCAAGAAGCCAAGCAGCATACTCACTGATTTCACAGGAAGGAGGCATTATCTGTGCCTGAGGAAGATGATGGCTGTTGCAGACCAAACACACATTCAGAAAGGTGTTTAAACATGTGCCTGTTGCCAAGTGCGCAAGCAGATCATTCTCAGAGTCTTCTAATAGTAAGAAGTGAACTGGAAACAGAACAGAAATCCTAGCACTTTGTGATATCCTGACTTTAGACCTCTCATCTACCTGTCCCCAAGAGGCAGCTCATTCCGGGGCCAGACATGGCAGTGAAGAATAGTCAATCCTACTACTCCTGTGTAGGGAGCTCAGGTTGGCACTAACTCTCTTGCAAGACACAGACCTCTCCTACTTCAAACAGGCACATTATCTTGCATATTTCTGATAGTATGGGATGAGAGTATCATGGAACTGATTTTATATAGTAGCTGTACTACAGGTAGCATCACTGCAGTAACCTAATGCTGTGCATAGACAGGATATGGTACTACAATAAACACAGAAATACGTGACAGAGCTCCTGGGCTTTCAAGGACTAAATAAATTCATCTCAGAGGCTTTTTTTCATGTTTGAGGCATTTCCTAAACGCATCATCTGACAGCAATAACTCCTTGCCCAAGTTAATTCCTCAGTGATGCTTACTGGACTTTGCTTGATCAATACATACAGGAGTCCAACCAACACTCCCTTAAATGACACATGAAAAACTCCTCTAAGTTACAGTACACGAATCCTTCAGCTCCTGCTAAGGATCTTCCACAATGAAGCAGCCCCACAGACCACAGGGGAATGACAGCAGAGAGTCTCGGAGAAGCTGAATATATAGAACCAAATCAAAGTGTCTCCTGTGTGCTCATTTCATTTACATCTCATTCATTACGGAAACAATGTGTGAAAGTAGTTTCTAGAGCTAATGAATGCAGGCTGCACATCGATTTAATACCTATTTCGCTTTTTCAAGTCACTTACCTCCATAGAACTCTAGTTCCAAAGTAATTATTTAGCTACATTGCTCAGACTTTGAATTCACTGGTGTATTAATGCAGCTTGCTCTAAACCACTATATATTTAAGACTGCTGAAGGGGAAGCTCTTAAAATGAAGGAAGACAGGAAAGAACCAGCTTACCTGATTTATAGGACAATTGAGTTTCTACTCCAGATTGTATTCATGCATAACATCTCTAAAACAAAAGAGCCAAATTGCATCAGATACACTTGCTGTTGTTAACGTGCCTGTATCAGTCTATCAGGCTAGCTACTCACATGGAAAGACTCAAACATGAAAATAAAGAGACAACTGCAAAAAGGGGAAAGTAATTAATAACACTTACAGAAGACTTCTTGCTGTCAGCAGGGCTCTTTATCAGGCTCTTCTGAAGAGATTGCCCATGAGAACCACAGCTGCAAACTGTTACATGTAAACACCATTTAACCACCATCACTGCTTTTATAATGGGAGAATAGAAATTAGCCTCCTTCATTTGCCAATGGGATTCTTGCCTGAAGCACAACCATTTCCTTCTTGAGATGCCCCAGAAGGTCTCACTTACAAGTATGGACCCTGTACTGTAAGAAAACTGAATATATGCAAACACCCCTATCAACAGATGATAGGTAGATACACACATACAAAATCTCTATGGGAAGTTGATTTACTCTGCTATTAGCAGATTGATTAAAAGTGTTTGCTGGCATACAGATGGCCACAATCCACTCTGGCTTCTCCTTGAGTAGAGCTCAGGATCCTGTTCAGTGACTGATACATTAAGGGGTGTGGGGGGAGTGATGCCTCTTCCTAGTTTTGTCAGAGACTGCCTATGATACTTTGAGCAAATCACTTAACCTTTGTGTTCTCTGCGCCAATAAGGAATCTGCCCTGCTCAGAGCACTCTGAGATCTATGGACAAAGAGCACTGTAAATACTATGTATTATTTATAGTATTGCTCTATGGATAATAGCAAGCTACAGCTGCTGGAGACAGCAGGGACCTCTGAGCAAGCAAAAAGGCATAAATCTGAATGTCAGTATCCTTAGCATTGTAGCTGGCGGCTGTTTTGTCCTAGGAGAACATTTTGGTGGTTTGTGCTACCAGATGAACTTGCTGTTAGTTCCTCATGTTCCCCAGAGGCAGCTAACACAGAAATCTGGATTTACCATAGCAGCTCATTGGTAAAGCAATTCTGACAGCCTGCTCCCAGCGTGGCTTGTACCTGCTCTTTCCAAAGGAGAAAGATTGGCCATGCCGTGATGCTTCTGTAAGACAACCTTGCACGCACGCACGCAAGCATCAGACTGCCAGCTGAGATTTGGCCACTTCTACCATGACCTCCACATTGCTTAGGGGAAGTCTCTGTGGACACAATGTAGTGATGTGTAAAAAGCACCCAAAATAGCTCCGGAATTGGATGCAAGTGGGCTGGAATACTGCTGAACCTGCTGGGAGGCTGCAGGGCTTTGCTGCAGCACTTAAGGCTGCTTCCCTCACCTGAGAGCTCATCCAGAGCTAGAGTGGGCCCTGCACTGTGCTGTCCTCACTGCTGCACTTTGTCCTTGAGCTTGAATAGCACTGAGTAATCCAGGCCTTGGCAAGAGGTGCTGAAAGAAAGCAAAGACCATCTGACATGCAAGTATTGATCTCCAAACTTTTGGGCACATTTGCCCTATTTATACCAACTTACTCTATTAAATTTGTCATCAAAGGCATTTAGCCAAATGTGGATCTTCCCAATAGCAGCAAACCCAGAAACTCACATATCAGGCTTTCAGGCTACAAATATGCATGTGGATTTATTTGCAAATAGATTCAAATCTTGGAAGGGTGACTCGGTGCAAATACATTTGTAGCACAACATGTTGTTCAAGTTATACCTTCTCCCAACACTGCACAATGTAAAACATCGTGACTAGATTGTGCCATGAACCTTAATTCATCGATTCATCACAGGAAAGTCTCCACACTGCTGCCAGTCTCTTTCGGGGTAAATGTTCTGACAGTGAAAAGAAAGAGATGTTCAGAATAGGAAAAAAAAATGAAGCCACTAAAATGCAAATTTTATTCACAGTTGGCATGTTTATAAATATATATATATTACATTCTTACAATCTACAGTACATTCTATATATAGAGGGATTCAATCTAAGTGTTTGTGGGAGGGTGAGTGTGTATTAAACTGAGCAACCTAGATTCAATGACAGGAGACTTAATAAGAAAAGGAGGGCAAGGGCTCACTCTGGAAAATAAAGGGAAACTTCATTTTAGTTAGTGCTTTGGCACTTTGCCACTGGTCACTGGAGACTGCTTTTGGACCTCACAAAAATGTCATGGTTTTAGGGCTGGAGGGCACATCAGATTCAAAGAGTAATCACTGAAATCCCACCATATGTACATCCTTATCAGGGGAAAGCAGAAGATAATCATCACCTCTGGGAGAAACAAATGTTATCTACCAAGTTTAGCTGCTCAGGCGTCAGTGTTGAATGTCAGCACTCCTCCATGACCTTCGAGTGCCCTCTAAATGTGCTGAGCAGGGGTCTAAAGAAGCATGAACAGAGGGAACAGAACAACCTGACCTCTCCTAGGGAAGGGGGGGGACAACGAGGCAACTGCTGTTGGTGTCCGAGTTCAGCACAAGCTACACTTACCCAAGGCAGTGGCCAACTTTGGTACATGACAGCATGTAAAGCAAGTACCAGTGTGGTACCAAGATGTCTGTGCTTGGCAAGAGCACATTGTGGAGAAGCGAGTGTGCATGGAAGGGAGGGAGGAAACCACGTGCCTCCAAAGTTGACTGATGCTAGTAAGTGCCCTCAGGATAACAGATGGGGAGCGCTCCAGGGAAATGGCTGGGAATACAAATTTGAAATAGGACAATCAAGTAAAGTGGGCTTCTAAAAATAGCTTGTTCTCTCAAACTTTCCAAAACAGACCTTCCTTTATATGAGTGATATTCTGAGTATAGATAGCATCTTCTATTTTACAAATTAAGAAATACTGAAAATTGGCTGGCAAAGTTTATTACCTTGGCATCTACTTAAAAAGAGAGTTTCAGTTTTAACTGTATATGTGTATCCATTCTCAGTGCTTGGGAGGCAAACATGCTGGTTTGTAAACAGCCCAGTTACTCCTTTTTCCCCTCCAGATTCTTTGGAAACTCCTGACCTTTCAGCTCTGGGAGCTGATCTGCTCACACTGTTGGTTTTTTTGTCAGCTTTAAATTCATGTTCATGGATGGCCATTCTCTGCATGTGCCTTGACTGACACGCTCTCTTTGCGGATCTATTTATTCTGAGACCAATTTTTTGCTTTTAACCAAAGCTTGCAATATTGAACAGCAGACCTGTGTGAACTGGAGTTTGTTATATTTATTGATTTCCTGGGAAAGCTCAGAGAATGAGACCGTATTATTTTGCTAAGCTTTTGTTTTTTTCATGTTACCATGCATCAAAAAACCCTCACACATCTCTCACTTCCATCTCTGAGCACAGAGAAGGCTTGCATTTTAAGAGCTGTCCAAGATCTTTGCTCTCCCAGTTGCTTTTGGGTGGCTTCTTGGGGCTCCATTGAGTTATTATCCACCAGCTGATTCATGTTATCAATACAACATTTTGCCCCACTACCCAAAATTAAAGGCAGAAGGTGAGTGAAAAACAAACAAACAAACCAACCAAACAAAAAGAGTCTTTTGTGTCTCACTACACATTTTCATGTAATCTCTCCATATAGTTTTTAAGTTCTTTGCACTCCCCCAGGTCCATATCCTGGCAGACCCATTTAATGTCATCCTCACTGCTCATCAAGACTGAGTTGACAGTTGGACACCCATCATCAGAGGAGATGGTGGTAAAGGTGGTGAATTTAACCCGTTTCCTCTTAGAGGTAGGAGAAGTAGTTGGTTCACTTTTCTGTTCTTTCCCTTCAGTGAATGTGGACTCAGTAGACCTGAAAGACTGTCCATTAATATTTTTGGTGGCATTTGTGTTGAGGAGGTATTTGCTCTCTTCATAGTCCACTCCTCTGTCAATGGCTGTGATACGTTCATCTTGTTGGGATGAGAAATTTATGTGGTTCTCCAGAAGTTCTGTCCTGTTGCTCAGCCCAACCCAGTCATGAGAGTGGCTCATGCCTTCTTGCTCTTCAAAGGGAACTTGTTTGTTTCTGTACTTCAAAGCAAAAGTGACACAATTTATAAGGAAAACCAGAATTGCCAGGCAAAAGACTCCCAGGAGAGCATACATCCCTATCTCCAGGTCACTGAGACCCCTAGGTGTCTGGACTAGGTCATTCTCTTCCAAGTCTCCATTGCTTCGTGGCAAATCCACCTGTGCAGGGAAGCTCGTGAAGTCTATTGGGATGTTCTGCAGATGGCTGTCATCATCCAAGAGGCTTTCTCTGTCTTCTTTTTTACTTAGAATAGACCTTTGAGTGGTGGTTCCTTTGCCTTGCTCATGGCCCATTGAGGAGCTGTAATACTGGCCATCTCGCTCCTGAGAAGTAGTTTTCTGACGCCGGTCACTGGCATGATTTTCTAGGTGGACACCAGCACCTCTGCGTTTACTGTCACTGATGTTAGGGTTGGCATCACTCTGCCCAAACTTGACTTTAATGCTACCACTTCCAACAGCTAGGATGCTCTTTCTTTTGGATTTCTGGCATGATTCACTGATCACCATCTCTACCTTCACCAGTGTCCCCTGGCCTTCTGTCTCAGCAGCAATCACAGGCCACTTGAATTTGGGGTCATGGTGAACGGAGACCACCTTCTCATCCAGAGATGTAGCTGACAAGGAGAAGTCTTTGGAGTCATAAATATCCAGGGGCATGACAGATCCATCACTGAACTGGATCCAGCAGCTGATGGCTGCTTCCTATAATATATAAAACAAATACATGCATACCCAGAATAAACATTGAGGGAAATATGTTCTGTCCCTCATCCTCTCAAGATCCATATAACACTTATAACCAGAAAAGAAATAAAAAGGGAGAGCAGTAAAATTAATATATTGCCAAGATGCGAAGAGAAATGCTAGCTTAAAACACTCATTGATAATAAGATTTGTTTCCCCAAAGGTGCTTAAAGAAGCTGCATCCCCTGGGCTCTGAAGAATCTACTTCAGCACCATAATAAATTGCATGTCAGAAAGCATTACCAGTGACTGAGATCATTTACTATCGTATATTCAAATGAAAAAAAAAAGTTACATTATTTCTAAACTGCTTAAAATACAAAGTCTCCTCTTATTACATACAACACATGTTAAAAAATATCTAATATAGCAAGTAGGTCCATGCATGGCTCTGTACCTGCAGCCCTTGATTTTTGTCTCTCAAATTAAATAAGCCTTTTGTACAAGCCAATCTTTAGGAAACAGCCAGGGTAATTTTCACGCTTGTTAGCAATTAAAAGCAATACAATAATGAGGTTTAATCTCGTGTCACA